CATATACATATACATATATATATAGTTTGTATTTTTTGATACAAAAAAGACAAATGTCCATGCCTTTCTTAACTTGTAATTTATTGAAAATAATTATGAACATTTGCTTAACTTGAAAAGTACAGTTTTTAAATGAAATGTTGCTGAAACAGCAAGTTTCTCAGTGGATCGCTCAGCAGTGTAGCCTGGGTGGAGTAGTCGAACGCAGATCCACTGAGCCTTCAACACAGCGCATCTTCAGAAGACAAGCTGATAAAATAAATTTTAAAAATCTRTATTGTTTGATACAAGTGCGTATTGAAGAGTACTGTTTTGAACAGTTTGATAAASATACATGTACTGTTGCAACCCTAATAAATACTGGTGCAAGTTTCAACTCAACCTCCAGTCGCTCCAGAAATCAGTAATTGGTGTTTGGTTGAAATAAAACTTTCTCAACAAAAACTGTCATTTTGAACAGCTAGAGGAGAGGAAGACACTTTATCGATCTTTTTAATGTCAGTGGTCTGAACTCTAAAATCCATTTGATGAATTTGGAGTTTAAGATTTCACAACTGGGACATCTTTAACTAGTATTTTTTTTATCACAATTTCAGAAAAGAATGTGCTGAAATAACAAACAGGTAAATACATATTGTAATGTGTCTCATATTATCTGACTAACACAGTAGCATCATTATAGAATACTTTTACTCAAACACTTTYACACTTTTAGTCAAAGAAAAACATTAAACTGTTTTCCCTTTAGGCAAAGTAACACAAAGACAAGTGTTCTTGCTCTTGTGAAAAACATATTAATGTTTTTTATGAAGTGGGAGAGACTATTAAAAGACCTTTACCGGAAGCTATGGTTAAGAAATGACGATTCAGCTGTAATTAATAAATGGGGAGAAAGAAAAAAGAACTATCTCCAATCAGTTCTGGTAAAGGCACTACAACACAGGAAACAGCATGTTGATTACAAGTAAATGCAAGCATAAAACACATCCACACACACATGTGATGTGCACCTGCACACAAAGTGTATGGAAAAAGAAAATTGGTACCCTCAAGACGAGGCCCAACAAATGTCTAATCTCATGTTGCAAAAAAAAAGAGAAAAACAAATAAATGCTTATAATTTCATTTCTCTGATTTATTCCCACATAAACGGTGTTTGTCACGGCGAAGATGTCGAAAAGGTCTCCGTCATTTATGTCCAAATGTTTAAAAGCTTCTCAGAAATAATGACTATATAATCTGTCATACTACATTTACAGAAAGAGGCAGCCATGTTATAAACAGGGAAGCTCTCAGTCAGTTCCTGCTTCAGCTGGAACTTCCACATCCTCAACCACAGAGAGAATTTCACTGTAAAATGAAACGTTATTCCTCTGATGCATTTAAAGGAGACATGATTTGCTTTTAAATCCTTCTTGTTCACATTTATATCATATAAACTGGAACGGCAATGCTTTGGTCTGAATTCCTCCTTATTGTAACTCCACAAGCCCCTCCTTCACCCCTTTTCTGAGCTGTGCTCATTKTGAGGCTGTCTCTTTAAATCCACACCAGACGCTTCACACCCAGACCCCCTCCAGATTCCAGACTGGTTCAGTTTGATAGAGGAGGTAACGAATGAACAAAGTGAATGTAATATATTATCATGGAACCATGTCCCATTTCAAGCTTTCACCTGTTGGATAACCGCTGACTTCTAATGACTCATCCTGGTAAAGCTGTAAAACATTCAGAAAGTACCAACAGGTCTGCATGTTCATCACTCAGGAACTTGATTGCTGCTGTTTTAAAACAAATCCATTAAGAAATGCTTTATTGTTATTGTCRTGGCAAGTTTACCAAGAATGCAGAAACACATTGGAATAAATGCACAGAAAGTCTGCGTGTGCGGTCGTCAAATGATTTAATCTTGAGCAACAACAAACAGAAGTCAATCAGGAAGTCTGTCGGGTTGTGGCTGACTCGTCAGCGGAAGCAGCCAATAATATAACACTATGTTAACACCATGTGACACTTTACAACCAATCACAATCTGACAAATGTAACTGCCTAACCAATAACAGGGCTCTCAGCCCAAAGAGTTACCTTATCAAAAACAAGAGAAGTCGTGCGTTGCTGGCGTCTTAACGTCTGGGGCAAACAGATTAACAGCYGAAAGAAGTTATCATAAGAAATATGAGTACTGGACAGTGTCAAGGTGAAACAGAAATAAATAATTAGTCCATAACAGTTATTCTACTGTGTTTTATTACAGAGACATTGAAACTGCAGTAATTAAACATGTAAACAGAGGCGGCGGCGGCGGCGGCGGCCAGCTGTAGCACTTCATGACTAGTCTAAGACATCGGCTCCCAAAGTTTTAAGATTTTGCAGCCAAAGCAACAGTAGCAGAGACCTGTGCCCCCAGTTATTTTTGGTTGATAAACATTGGAATCAAGTCAAATAAACAAGGGCAGTATTCAATATGCTAATTTCATCCATTTTTAAGTACACTAACCACACTCTTTTGTTACAACTAAAGCAAAAAAATGTTGTTGGTATTAATTTTTAAATGTAATTAATTCAGAAAATCTTTTCAGGACCACCTTGATGTTTCAGGAACCCATTGTGGATCCCAACCCCAACTTTGGGAACCACTGGTCTAAGACACTTCTAGCACGAAAAGCACGTCATTTGTTTGTGGCTGTGAAAATGCTGTTTGCATGCTTCTATTATATCATTTTATTTTTTTTAACAGGAGCCTTAATGTTCTTTGTGTTGATGAAATATGTTAATCAGAGTTAAACTCTTCCTTCTTAGTGAGTTAAAGTGTTCACACAATTTTTGTGTAAACAAGCACTGAACATATAACAGACATCAAAACCTAGAAACTATAATAGTGGAACATTGAATGAGGTGATCAAAATGATAGTTTGCTTTCCTCCCTGGTTTCTTATAAGAACTGGATTGCAGTACGTCTGCTGGGCTGAGCACTGATATCATTGCAGAGGCTGAAATTATACAGTGCAACGAAAACCCTGGTGATGTCCTCTAATGATAAAGTACAGACTGGAACTGGGTGCTAATAATGTTGTGCAGTTGATGTGATGTG